CCAGTGGGGATGAGGGTTCATTCCCCAGTAGGAGTTTGCAGGAGGCAGCAGATTGATGTTTCTCTCTCAATGATGCTTCTATCTCTCTCTCCCTCTCCCTTCTCTCTCTAAAATAATCAATAAAAACATATTTTTAATTAAGTCTTTATTGTTAAAAGTATTACATATGTCCCCTTTCCCCTCCCCCTTGCCCGCACCTCAGGCCTTCACCATCTTATTGTTTGTGTCCATGGGTTATGCATATATGCATACAAGTTCTTTGTTTGCTCTCTTCCCATCCACCCACCCTCCCCCTCTGAGATTCCACAGTCTGTTCTATGCTTCTATGTTTCTGGATCTATTTTGTTCATCAGATTTCATTTAAGGACCAACTTGACTGCATTGGACCATAAAGGGGTTTTTAAAAATATACTTTTATTGATCTTAGAGAGATCATGTCCAAAAAAAATTCAAGTAGAAATCATTCTTATGCGGAGATGAGCATGGCACTTGAGCGAGCCCCACTTCCCATGGTGAACCCAGATAATTAGAGAACATTCAATCAAGTACTAAGTTAAGCCACTTAAAACAAAAACTCTCTCCTGTGGTAATGGCATTAATAACCCCATATTTCACCCGCCTGGTATGGCTCAGTGGTTGAGTATCATTCTATGAACCAGGAGGGCAAGGGTCAATTCCATGTCAGGACCCAAGCCCTGGTTGCAGGCTCAATCCCCAGGAGGGGGCATGCAGGAGGCATCCTATCAATGATTCTCTCTCATCATTGATGTACTCCCTTCCTCTTTCTGAAATCAATAAAAATATACATATTTTTAAAACCCTATATTGTCAAATGCAGTCAAGTTGGTCCTTAAATGAATTCTGAGATATACCAACTAATCTTATTTATTTACTTAAGTTTTTTATTTTAAATTACAGTTGATACACAATGTTATATTAGTTGAAGGTGTAAAAATAGTGATTAGACATTTATATAACTTATGAAGTGATCATCCCAATAAGTCTAGTACCTATTTGACACCATTCATAGTTATTAAAATATTATTGACTATATTCTCTATGTGGTACTTTACATACCCACACTAATCAGTCCTTGCTCAAGTGCCATGTTAAGACTGGGCTGTGAGTCTCAAAATGCTCTGAGAATAAAATAGATCGTTACGTAAAGTAAGAGTCTATTTTTTCTCTGTATTCCTATAATATTTAATTTTGCCTAACATCATTTGTGGATTACAAATAAAGCATGTTAACTTAAAAATGTGGTATGGAAATATAATTTAAATGAACTTTTCCCCATAATCACATCACATCTGATGATTATTTTTAAATTTAGGTTGTGTCTATTCCTAACATTTTCTCTATCTCATAGAATGTTTTGAATTAAAAGATAGGGTGTCCCAAAAAGTGTATACTCATACTGAATAATTATAAAGGCAGTGTTTATTTAAATATATTTTCAAAATTGAGCTACTGGCTATTAAAGTGTATATATGTAGAACACTCTATATATTATTTTTATTTTTTTAAATATTTTATTGATTTTTAGAGAAAGAAGTAGGGAGGTGAAGAGAGAGAAACATTGATGTAATAGCAAGACAGTGATGAACTGCCTCCTGCATGCCCCCTACCTGGGATCCAGTCAGAAACCCTGGGCATGTGCCCTGACTGGGAAATGAACGAAGACCTTTTGGTGCATGGGGAGATGCCCAACCAACTGAGCCATACTGGCCATGACATATCTTATTTTTAAAAACAATATTTGCACATAGTTAAAAACACACACACAAAATGTACAATGAAAAACACACAGACAAAATGTCTTTCCATTCTAGCACCATCTCTTCTTTTCATTCCCTCCTACACCAGGAAAAAGCTGGTACTATTTCTTACATCCATGTGAGAAGTCCATGTATACCCAACTACCCACCACCCCCTTTTTTCTTAAATAGAAATGGCAACATGTAAGTGTTCTACTTAGCCTTAGATTTTGTGATTCATACCATTTAAGAAATTTTTTTGTTTCAGCCTGGTTCTTTGCTCACTAGTTGACCCATTACCTGCCAACAGAGTCCAAGCACATCCATCTTCCTCCCCCACACCCACTGACAACCTACACTGCCCCATGCCCAGGCCTTCCAAACCCCACCTATCACTTACCTGCCCAAAGTAGTATGAGGCTGGGGAAGGCTAACCAAGAAGGCATGATGGTATCTGCCTAAAGGAAAGAGAAACGGACTGTTTGGTGTGCCCCCACCAGATGGTATGGGGACACATCTTAATTCTGAGATTGCAGCTTTTCCTTTCACCCTAACTGCATGCATCACATGAGCCTACCCTGCTATGGATGGGAGACCACATACAATGGCTTCAGGTCTCTGTTAGCTCAGGGTGGCTGAGAGCTCTGTACCTCCAACAGGCAGGCAAAGCTGCCCTTGGAAGTAGCCCCTTATTTCCCAGCTCCTTTTCCACATGTAAAGTCCACACTGACTCTTGATGTTCAGAGAGGAAATTAGAGAGGAAACAGGAAGGAAATGAGAGCCAGGCTCAGTGGGGGGACACCAGAGCAAAGACCAGTCCTCCAATGGTCCTGATGCACTTGCCCTTGGACTCTGAGATGACCGTCTACTGGCCCTTTGGTGAGTAGAGGGTACCTCTTACCCTGTGGCCACAATGGCTAGTCCCTAGCCTCAATTATATCGCCAAGTTATCTATTAACAAGGATTAAGTCAGGATGTGAATCACTGTGTTTCATCACTCATGCTACAGGAAGCAACGACTCAGACTGCATTTATTGAATGATGTCAGGAGAACATTTCAGAAAGCAGAATGTGGACCAGGCCTAGTGCTCATAGACACAGACTCAGAGAAAAGCCCCAAAACTGAAAGTCTGCCTTCATAAATGGGGGCAGAGAGAGGCTGGCAAAAGAAGCAGCCACTCCAATCTGGCAACTAACAGTTTAGCCAAAAAAACTCACATGCAAGCTTCTCCAGTGACTGCAAGACAAAATGGATGCCCACACTTCTTCGCAAGGGAACAAAGAATTATATAGAGTAAAGGGACAGTCACAGATACTATTCATGGATGCTACCAGGTATTGGAAATTACTTTACATGCTTGACAAGGCCTGTTCCAAGAACTGGTGCAGAGCAGGTGGCAAAGCACAGATACCGATTAATGTCAGAATGAATATCGATTATGATCGGATAATCAAAGGGGAGGGTTGTGGAAAGCAGCCTCCATTCTGGTCTGAACTAGCTTGTGGGACAAACAGAAATCACCCTAGGATTCTGCTGTTGTGGCATCCAGTTATGGGGAGTGTGTGTGGGTGGGGGCGGGGGGGGAGTCATGGAACAGCCTCTCCTCACACTCCACCCCTCATGACCGGCTCTTACACTCCCATGCCTTCCCTCAGAAAGACAAATATTTACTAGGAACTTGAACTGAGAGATCTCCTTCTTTGAGAATTACACCTGCAGCCTAGCCAGGCTGTGTAAACCACAGGTTGTCCAGCAGGAAGTTGTGCTCTCTGCGGTAAGGAAGGGGATAGGAGGAGGAATATGCCAGAAGGGGACCCATTCTCCCCTTTCAATGGATGACTCTCAACTGCATTAGAATGACAGGGTCCCAACAGAGGCTAAGCAGTTCCTCCCCACACAGGGATGTGAAGACCTATCCTGGTGGATAATCCCATTGTAGAGTCTACTAAATGGTCCCTGTTCCAGGGGAAAACGGCTTGGTGTCCTCATCATAACTCCTTGGTCCATGGCAAGTTTAGGGCCTATTGCTGTGTCCTTTGTTTTCTATACCTTTATTTTAACACAAAGAACAAAATTCTGATTTTGTATCAGTTTATTTTTTATATA